GTCCTTTTAGAACTGAATAGTTCTACTTACCCTATTCAACTTGATGATAAGACAGGGTGTTTTGTTGGCGTATCCGTAGTTATTCTCCATGTTGCAGGGCCCGAAGTTGGTGGTAGTGTTAAAGGCGCAGACCTCATTTCTTGGAGGCTTCACGTCACCACACTCACGCTGGTTCACGCCCTGGTTCACTAACAAGCTCTTGTTGTTGTATGCTGGAAAAATGAACGTAAATTGATGAGAAAATACGTCTTTTTACATGAGCTATATTGGTTAAGATAGCAATCAAATCGTCATAGTTTATAATGGCTTTATTTTGGCAGATCATAAAAATGAATGAGTAAAATTCATAGAAATGTAAATGTTTTTTTATGACTCTTTACATACCAAGAACAAAACTTTGTAATAGTTGAAGTTTCATATAATATAATATCCTAAATCATATTTCACCTTATATAATAATATAGTTCTCTAAAGAATATAGAGGTACATACATATACATAACCCTCATGCGAGACAGGCGTGATGTCTCGCTTGGGGGCAGAAAAAAGAAATGTAAGTATATACAAATCAAATCTACTCACGCGCGAGAAACTCATTGATGTTATCCACATACTTCTTGACTTGAGTTTCATTGTCAGCATGGTACCAGATGAGAGCTCCTTCCTCGAACAGTATGGGTCTGTGACCCATGCCAGGGTTAGCTCCTGGAATCATACAGATCGCCATAATGAGTTTGACACAATTAAGTTCATAAAATTCTCAATTTCACACTGATTATGGAAACACAATAGCCTTACATTTACAAAAAAAATACCATGTTTATCATCAGATTCTAACAATATTCATGGCGGCATCTACAACTGTATTCCGTTCTTGTCTATCACCCGTCATCTCAATTATTCGATGATATTAAGGATAGATGACTAATTTTTATTTTAATGTCCGTCTGTTAGATTATTTTAAATGAATACGTGTCTAATATTTTTTCATTACCTAACTGACGGACTAATTACATTTTTAATTTTCATATACCCATCATCATCCCTATTCTCTCCATCCAATATGTTCCTAGGCGTTCCACCTTCTTTCAACATCAAACAATATATTTTGATAGACTGCCATTACTCTCTTAATATTATTATAAGTATTCATACTAACACAATCTATTCTAGGTACTACTAAAACGTTTTTAAATAAATGTAACATAAACAGAATAAAATTCGTTTCGAACATTTTGCAAAGATAATCCTTGAACCCATTTTTTTAAGATCTTAAAATATCTTTGAAATAACTTTTGACGGATGCTTCTACGGCGTGAGTCAAATAAACATTCCTGATTTAAATATTTCCCTTACGTACGTGTACATCAAGGAATTTGTTCGTAGAATAAAATGTATTAAAAGATGGGAGTAGAAATATAATAGGAATTGTTTACATGAACAGCCGTTGACAATAAATTGTCGGAAAATAGACCCTCTCTACATAAGTTACATAATGAACCGCTGTACTCAGTCATGTAACTAAACTTAACGGTTTTTTTAAGGGGACATATTGCAATAATTCTCCTTCCGGGGTGAGGCGGAGGCAGTGTCAGACTCTTCCTGACTAAAAACCACCCAATTCTTACTCCTGCACTTCGAGCTGGAGCCCTGGTGACCCTTTACGTTCTTCGCGGCTAGACAGCACGGTTGGCGCAGTCAAAGTCAAAGTCAAAATCAAGTGCTTTTCTGGTCTAATTGAAATAAATGAATTTAACTTTGACTTTGACTTACACGCTTGGAGGATTGTAGACCGCGAATATAAAAATAAAAAAAGATTCAGGTTTGTTATGTATTGCCCACTACGACGATGCTATAAAAAAAGCATTAATTTGTGGGCAGAATGTAATCGACGTGCTCCATCGTAGACCGCATCATCGCTTACCACCAGGCAAGACGGTGGTCAAACGTCGGCCCATCAAAAATAAAACAAATATCTAAAACTTAAGGTACTTAATTAATAAAATTGTTATTCAATCGCTTACCAATGATGGAGTCAGCGAGTGTGAAGTAGGGGATCTTTTCGTCCATGCTGGCGAGCAGACCACACATGCAGATGGAGAAGAAGATGATGATGCAGATGTACATCACCAGGTAGATCAGCCCTATCACACCTGGAACATAAATGATCAATCATTATACTTGAGGAACATAGCAAGCTGACAACATACGAAAGAAATAAGGACGCATTGTTTCAAGTTTGTTCAAGTTTTACCTGTATATATCTATGTATGTATATTTGTGCGCGACTACCTCGTGACTGGCTAAACCGATTGTGGTTTTCAGACAAAGTGTATGTTACACTTGTATTTTAGTTAACAGACTTCACAAAAGGAGGGGTTTGAAGTCGGTTTTTTGAAACATAGTTTATTGAAGAATTATTTTTTATTTACTTTATTTTAAAAGACTTCATGCACACACTTATGTCCAAGGTGGGCTTAATGCCTAGGGCATTCTCCTCCTCCTCCTCCTAGAATCTTTGGGCGATGCAGAGATAAAAACAATGGTCGATGCAAGAAGCAAGCGTATTTAGGACTAAACAGAAATACATAAAAAATGATAAGACTTATATAAGATAAATCCCTGTATAAACTTACATGTACAATAATGTATAGGTATAACATAACAAAATTATCTTTTTGTTAACTTATTTCAATTAGTAATTATCATTTCTTCAAACAAAAGCCCGCAAAATACAATAATAGTCAAAACAAATAAACCAATGAACGTATGAGTAAGTTGTTTGATAGAACTATTAGCGGCGCATACGCATTGAGAGTAACTTATCATTGTGAATTATCACATCCATTGGTGTATCAATTCCAATAATAGAGTGCTAAGTGGTCTGTAGCGAACTGAAAAACTTAAGAGTGTAACTTTAAAGACACTTTACGACATAATGACTTTATCAAGCAGTCACAAGTTGCTATTCTTCTTCTTCTTCTCTTCTGATTTATTTCGTTGCGGGATTCAAGACAGTTATTCATGTTCGTGGAACTCGCCAGATTTCAGTGTTCTGGTTTTTTCATTTCTGTATCTATTATAGATCCCAGCTTACAGGAGTTGCAGCGGTTTTGGAAGGTTATCCCATTAAATAAAAGGTAGTATCAAGTGTGTTTGCTGAGGTAGGAAGTTTGATTCTTCTTCGTGTTTTTTTTTATGGGATTAGCCAGTAAACGAGCAGACAGATCACCTGATGGTAAGAAATCAGGGTCGCCCATGGACATCTGGAACACCAGAGGCGTTACAAGTGCATTACCGGCCTTTTGGGGATTAGGAATTTGAGGATTGTTGGGAATTCAGGAACCCCATGATTCCTCATTTAGAACACTTTCAGACAAACATTAAACGAACTGAAACCCAACCTTTTTAAAAGCAGACGGTCGTCATAATGCAATGGAGAGACCGTCATAAATCTAATACATTTGTACCGAAATATATATTACTACACATCGCGCGCACTGTGAAGGAAATCATTGCTAAGCTACGATCTCTGCCAGTGACGCAATCTCTGACGGAGCTCCGTAAGCCGTATGATGGGATCTACTTATCTTAGTGCGTATTCAAATCAGCTGGCAACAAAAACATAGCAACACGGCTTTTATTCCTCAAACTATTCAATAGGAGGTACTCAATACCTATGTTTTAGTTATACTGTTTTAACAAATTGTCAAACTCTGTGATAGAAGGACAATGTTCAAAAAACTGATAATCGGGTATCGAACCCAAAATATTTTACTTGGTGGTAGATCTTTTACTTGTAACCACTCGACCAACGATAAAATTTAAGTATCGAAAAATAAAAAACATATAAATTTAGGTCCTCCACGCCTATCAAGCATATAGGTACACTTCTGAGTAGGCAGACTTTTATACAACCACCTAAACACCAAAACAATCCTTGAAAAAGAACCACCTAAATAATTCTTTTACAAACTTCGTTTAAAGAAAAACCGACGACCTTCGACCTGCTCTTTTGAAGCTTTTGAAGTCGGTTAAGGCTTTGACTGCAAATAAAAAAACTATTGAAGGCAAAACCTCCGCTAACGTCGGTCACCGTGACCGCTATGCCGTTTAACGTGTTAAAGAGAATAGCTTCATCGATAGCTTTACTTTTAGATCATGTAGCTATGATGTATTTATAGTATTGCAGACTACCTACTACTACATATCCGTAAAATGTGCAGTTACCAACAAAGAGCTAACATGGCGTCTAAGATGGCGGCCAAGATGGCTGAAATAGCCTGCGCAAGCGCAACGCAACCCAGTCACGCATTGTTTACATTGGACGCTACGTCACGAGCCACGGCACTCAGGGGTGCCAGGACTTCTGTTAAACAATAGTTGAAGATCAACTTTACTGTAACTGTTTTCTCGTTGTATAACACAAACTATTTTTATAAAATATAGCGGCAAATGAACAGACAGGTCACCTAATGATAAACAATTGGTGGTTCCCGTGGAGATGTCCACGGGAACCACCTACTAGAGAAGGTACAAGTGCCTTGCTGGCCTTTTTGTTGGACTTGTAGAAACGCCAGCAACTAGCTACGCAACTAAGTAGAACGTACACAGAGTAAGTACCTATATTAATTCCACTAAAAGGTCAATGGCAGTTGATGACACTTTACTTAATGTAAACTAACCCTTATTGCGCCTATTTTTAAAGAACACGTTGGTAGGTACTGTCAATTGTCTTTTTTATAATATTTAGTGAAGTCTAAAGTAATAAAGACTTGCTAAAGTTATATCCACTCTTTAATTGAACAATACTCTAAATCTATTTGTTAAAGCAATGCCCTGAATACCTGTAAGATTTACTAGAAACCATGAATTATTGAGCGGCCGGCCGGCACCGTAGAATTCGCGGAAACAGCGTGTGGGGCGGAATATACCGCGGGGACGACGGCTTTTTCCGTACCTAATTAAATAGTGTGGAAATGTCCACATGTAATTGAAGTCAATTCATATTTAATTTTTACATAAACGTAGAAAAATGGAATAACATTCATTTCAAGTGTGGGATAGCCATGCTTTGGCACGAATGCTAGACCGGAGTGATACCACGGCCTCACAGAAAACCGACGTAAAGCAACGGTTGCATTGTGCTTCGTCGTGTGAGTGAGGTTACCGAAAGCCTAATTACCCCCTCCCCTTCCCCAATCTCCCAAATCTCTGAACCCCCAACGATCCTCAAACTCCTAATCCCCAAAAGGCCGGTAACGCACTTTTTATGGTCCACTTTGTAACGCTTCTGGTGTTTCAGGTGTCCATGGACGACGCCGATTGCTTACCATCAGGTGATCCGTCCGCTCGTTTACCGCCTTACCACTTAAAAAAAAAATTAAGCAACCATATTCTTTCTAACAAATACAAATTAAACTACACAGTAATAAAACACGAAACAACTCCCTCATGTATGAAGGTAGACACATTCCAACAAAGTTTTATGGACAGTGAAATCATCATAAAAGTGCTATCTCTAATGAAAATACCAGCAGTAACATTTACACTAATATACACAACTATACTTAGTACGAATAATATCGTTGGCGTGAAGATACTGGACGCTGAACAAACATAATTGTACATTTATTGCGATTCTACGTAGACTTAAACTGTTTTTAGAAACTTGCGTATAGTCTACGTCATGAATGGTTTGTATTGAATCTCTGGACACAGAATAAAAAGAAACCTAGGTAGGATTGACTCTACGTGGTTCAGATTTTATGTGGTGATCAAAGAGAATCTCAAAAATTTCTATTCGCAGTTCTCGTAAGAGCCGAAAGGAGTACACATTAAAAATCGGGCAGTCGTACTCTCAGAGAACTTTTTGACATTGTTAAACATTGAATTTTCATAAAATATGTATCAGATCTTCATTCAATTCTATTAAAGAATGTTTATGCAAAATTTTAACCTTTAAAACTGCATCTCCAATCCACGTATCAACCCTTCAAAACGTAGGTAGGCAAAGGATGCCCCTAGGTTCCAAAAATCCATAATTAGAGGCGAAGTTCACAGTTCAATGTTGATTTCTGAAGTTATGTCCTGAATCTCTGAGACCTCAAATTCTTTAACCAAAACTAGACGTTTAACCTCACCTCCAACTGCCATCATAACTTACCCTTAACCTAGAATATAGTGGAAGTATTAAAATACCAACAAACACTAGTAAATACCGGTGTCGACCGGTATACATATATGTATTTTGTTGCCGAGGCCGACTCCTATTTGCGGACAAGTTTACGACGTGACGCGGTAATGCAGTACTGCCGACGATTGATGTTAGGACGTGGCTTATGTGAAGTAGACGCTATAACTAACCAATAATAAGATTACTCTAACTATAGATAGGTTTTTGTTACTGATGATATTGTATCGAATTTATCACAGAACATAATATTATATAAAGAAGGTATTTATCTTGTTAACTTCTTTTTCTTCCCCTGAATGTCGTGAATTTGACCACTGTATTTGACAGTTTTGTACATTATCCATAACGATAGTTTGAGGCTCGGAAAATGACGCTTGAGAGTATTCAGCTGCTGTATCTTTTTTTATTTTATTTTTTTGCCTGGGGTAAAATTCGTATGGTATTGTTTATTTTTTGAAATCCCGAGAATGAACATTTCACAATAAATACAAGTGAATCGATTCTGATAACATTTGTTACACAGCTTTGGAAAGGACGAAATAAAGAAGCCAAAAATTGCCAGAAGTCATTATTATACGCGGACGAAGTCGCGAAGACCAGTTAGTTCCCCATAAAAATGCATACCTATCGAGCATGAGCATGTCAACTAAACTAAATTTAAGGTATAATAACTAAACTAACTTTTCTGAAAACCGCATCGAAATCGGTTCAACTAATCGCGAGATAATGGCGCACAAACATACACACATACAGAGGCCTTAGTACGAGTTTGTTTTACATTTAAAGTAGAGGTAATTATAATTATGTTTATCACTGAAATATGTAAGTGTATCTATTTTAATTGCTCAATTAATTCGTTGCTTGCTTCTTGCTGACACCATTAACTCTTCTCTGCATCACCCAAAGGTCAGACTGGGAGAAAATGCCTGCGGCATTAAGTCCACCTTATGTACACTTTGTGCATGAAGCTTAAATAAATAAATAAATAATCGAAACGAAACCTCGTCCGACGCTCTGATTGGTTGGTTCATTGGCGCCGGCCAATCAGAGTGCCGAACGCGTACTCGTTACGAATACTTTAACTCGTCGAGTACCGGTTTTGTAGACACAATTATAGAACAATAGGTTGCGGTCACCGGTGACCGCTTGGTGTTTGACAGTTTAAACGTAAATGAAACTCGTACTAAGGCTTCAGGTCACACTGAGAACATTCGTTTTATTTTCTTTTTGAAGTCGGCTAAGAAAATTAACGCCAAACCGAGATACCGATACCCCTTGCTCAGCAGATGTTCTTGTGACCACTCCACCATTAGGCAATTAATTACGTTACAGTGATTTTGATATGTTCCATGTAATAAATTGTTTAAAGGTATTCCATAATAAACCCACCCCTTTAAATAATATAAGTAGCTCCTTACATTTACCTCTATATTACCACCTTTTCATTCACATAATAATTCTTTTAGAACTACGTTTAAAAAAAAACGACCTTAATGCCCTCTTTTATTGAAGTCGGTTCATTAATACTGACGACTGTATGGTTGGCACAAAGGCTGGGCAACTGGCTGCCGCGCAACGTGTCGCGGGTTCGATTCCCGCACGGAACAACTCTTTGTGTGATCCAGAGATTGTTTCGGGTCTGGGTATCATGTAAATCTGAAGTTGTATGTTTGTAAAAACACCCATGTTTTGTCCTGTGTCATGGATGTGTTGGGTAAAGTTTTTTTTTATACTAAATGCTTCTCCGAATTGTAATAAATACTATTTTGTATTAACTGTTTCAAAATCGGTTTAGCCAATAGCGAGATAATCTCCTCCGAGAAGATTTAAAGAGAACCTCATTTACTTTTTTGAAGTCGGTTAAAAAACCAATGAATTTCAAGCAAATTCCCCTCTTGTATCCAAAGCTCATTTCAGCCACCATGGAATATAAGCGTATTCGTAAGTAATTTCAGTTTTCACGTGCTGAAAACCAATCAGTTATGATGGGGATAAAATCGAAAATAACTCTGGAACATGATTCATTGAAACTGCTCGCACAATTGCACTCACTTCACTCACTCGGTTTTACTATTAAATGTATGATTGTGCCTTTTCTCAAAGAAGGGGTAGACAGAGGTCGACGTTTTGAATGTTATGTCCATATTTGGTCTAATAATTTAAGTATTTAAGGTAATACTGGAAATTAATGCCATGAAAACATAACATCGCATCTTTTATCCCCCTTCTGCTTATATATCTGCCCATATATATACATATCTGCCTACCCCTTCGGGAATAAAAGGTGCACCTCCGTGGACATTACGGCGCTTAATACCACTGTGCCACTGTGCAATGTGTATTAATTTAATCTAAAGTTAGAATGAATTTATACTTGTGTCCAATGAAAGTGGAATTGTGGTATATGGCATTAGGCTGTCCCCCTATTACATGGGACTCATAACATAAATAGTGAAAAGTGGGTATTACATTGTACAGTGGCATTAAGTGCCGAAATGTGCACCTCTGCCTACCCCTTCGGGGATAAAAGGCGTGACGTTATGTGAGGTGACAAGTGTCTGAACGCGTGACCGATTAATTACGAGGTCTTTTCTTTAACTAGGTTATTTATTGCACCATATACCAATAGACTTCATTAATATTTTTGTCCATACCAAAAAAAAATTAATAAACTTTCTCGGGTAAAACAAAAATTAAAATAAACATGTCGCTATTAGATTTATAGTCAGACCGGCGTCTGAATCGAATCCTTGACCAATGTTTATCTTTCAATATAAAACTACCTCTATACATATATATTGACGTATACATACATATACATACATTTGTTTACACAGTATCACGCCTGTTAAATCCTGAAGAGATGGGTAGAAGTGGGTGATATCACACAATTCTCTTTTTCTTTTGCCTTTGAAGTAGATGGCGTAGTGCCGTGGAACGGTGGATTCACCTGGCCTGCTCCTTCATCAGGGCTTACAAGCATTGAAACGATTTTCAGCAAAAGAACGGCGAAGAAGTAATTACTTCATCTTCCTCCCTTCGGCTTACTCCCGTAACTAGTTTCAAGCCATGCTAGACAGTAGCAGCGCAACAGACACCACGTCGCGGGTCGCGGAATGCTGCTCATGAATATGAGCCTTTACTTGAAACTAGTCGAGTTCATTTTCAAATAATTACTCGAGTAAGCCGAAAAAGATAATAATTAACTCGTCGAGTACCGGTTTTGTAGACACAATTATAGAACAATAGGTTGCGGTCACCGGTGACCCCTTGGTGTTTGACAGTTTAATAAGTGGTTCTATTTGCGCAAGGAATCATTCTTGAAGAAAATTTTAGGACTGAGAACATGTTAATTTATTAATGGCAATATGCTTACATGAAATAAAATGGAAAATACCCTGAAAAGAATGCCATTTCTTTTATGGCATAAGCCGGTAAACGAACAGACGGATCACCTGATGGTAAGCAATCGGCGTCGTCCATGGAGACCTGGAACACCAGAGGCGTTACAAGTGCGTTACAGGCCTTTTGGGAATTAGGAGTTTGAGGATCGTTGGGGATTCAGGGATTGGGGAGATTGGGGAAGGGGAGGGTAATTGGGCCTCCGGTAACCTCACTCACACGACGAAACACAACGCAAGCGTTGTTTCACGTCGGTTTTCTGTGAGGCCGTGATATCACTCCGGTCGAGCCGGCCCATTCGTGCCGAAGCATGGCTCACTTATGTTATGCCTCATGCATAAACCAAATTTAATCTTAAATATTATGAGACTCGGAACGAACTTAAGCCAAACTTGCCAAAGTATTTAAAACAGGTCGTGAGTTTGATTCCCATGCAAAAGGCAAAACCATTTCGCTGTTAATTTCATTTTACTAGCGCAAACACGTGTTGAGATTACTCTCAAGGCGAAATGTCTAGTTTGTATACAACACTAATTTGCTAGTGTTTAACCACGGTGTACTAACTTATTTAACTTTTCAACTGAATAATACGATACACATGTTCAATGTAATACGCTAAAACAAATAAACTACTACTTTTAATTAATTCCCACTCCATTTTTACCACAGTGTGGGGAGTAGCGTCACTTCCGATAACGCAGAATGAGGCTATATATCCATTACATTACGTATATTATTCTCCAAGGGATCCATATTAAGTATGGCATGTAATACATATATTTCCCTAATATATGAGTGGTAGATAAAGTTATAACGAACTCTTTGAAAGCGATAGTTCTCTTTTCTGTAGTAATCATAATAATAGAAAAGCCTTCCAATGTCCTGGACAATGACAAGAAATTAATTCTAATAAAAATAATAATAACTTCACGCCTTTTAACCCTAAAGGGGTAGGCAGAGGTGCACATTACGGCACTTAATGCCACTGTATAATGTAACACCTACTTTTCACTAGTTTATGTTAAATATGAGTCCCATGTAATAGGGGGGGGGGGGTTATTGCCATATACCGGGTACAATTCCATGGTAATTAGAACAGGCATATTTCCATTAATAAAAAAATAATTCCAAATTCAAACCGCATTTTGGAAAATTTTGTTTCTATTTTCAAAAGAAAAAAAAAACGAAAGTTATTCCTGTTCTAAAAAAGAAAACAAAATAAATGACCTAATCCAAAATTGAAACAGCTACCGAATTTAAAAAAGAAACCGTTAAAATTCAAAAATTCTAATTCGAATTTCAAAAACTCACCCCATCGATGTGGAGTTCTGCCCAGGAATGTTCTGTCTTCTGGATTCCAGATTCCATACTGGATTCTTTGGAGGAAGGGTCTCTGAACTGGTCTTCGGCAGTAGTTGACCACACCATTCGGCTTGTCGGCGCCCATCGTGGCGGCTCGGTGGATGAAGACTGCCGGTAAGCAACCGAAATGAGGTAAACTGATTCGTATGAGTTTTGTACCTATGTCTAGGCTGCCTCTGTGAGGATTTTTGTTGTTACTATGGAGTTGATTTGATCGAGTACTAGTCTGCTAGATTTTAACAGAGTAGTTTGAATAAAGTATCATCATATGGATAGCGAGTCTTATACTTTTATTAAACGGGAAGGCAAATAACATGATTTTGTATAAAATACGATTTGTAATAAAACGCATAACTAAGTAACATTAATAAACGGTTATCCGCTTCATATGAAAATAATAAAACCGAAAAAATATTACATAACTCTAAACATTGCCATCAGTCCAGTCTAGATGTCACCTACTCTTTGGCTTCTCTTGCCGCCCAAATCTGCCTGTAACCGGCGGACCGCCCGCCCAGCGCCCGCCGCCCCAGCGCCCCCTCACGACCGAGCCCTGAACAAACTAATGTTCTAAGTGCTAGACAACTTGGTTGTATCTAACCGAGGGCAACAGGTACGTGGTTTATAGTATAAGTAATTGAAGACTTGATGACTATTGACTGGTGTATCTAGGTATTGTTCTGTACTTAGTTTCTAGCAAAGTAGGTGCTAAGGTTGTATAACCTTATCTATTAATTGCGATTTAAGTATGGAATAACATAGAAAAACAGTTTTTCAATTGATCAAGGTGTTACGGTCTAGAAGAGAGAAATTGGTTCTTCTTAACTCGGTGGCAAAAGTAATCGAAAAATAACGAGGTTAATAAAGACAGAAACGTATACACGTGTCTGTAAGTACGTCAAAACATTTGTGGTCTTTTCTTTCGACGATTAACTACTATGTTAATTAAATGCAATTAGAGAAAACCGGCGTCTTAGATTTGATAACCTGGTCGGGAAAAGCATTATAGGGCTTTTTATTGCTTATGAACATTCTCACCACGGAGTCTTACTTCATTTCTGGTGAAAGTATATAAACATAACTGGTGATATTGCAATTAATTGTGGCTCTATCTACATAATACTCTTTCGAGGAATTGAAGACGTAACAGAATAAATAGCAAGAATTCAACAAGTTTGACAATATTGCTTGATACTGAGACGAACCGACATCTCTTACTTACCAAACGAATTTATCGACCATCATACTCTAAGTCAGGGCTGCCCAAACAAAGGCCCGCGGGTTGTTTTCATGCGGCCCGCGACACACATTTTAATTCCAAATTCGTTTTGGACACAAATAGTTTGGAATTTCGTTCGATAATATTATTCTTTGTCAAAACATATTCTCAATATTTGGTATAATTTATTAATCTTTAGTCGTGCAACATTCCATTCGCATGATCATTTAGTTAAGTGATCAAAAGTGAAGCTACTTTTACTATTATTGGGGGAATTTCCGAAAAGTTTTTTTTTTTTTGTCGAGTAACGATTTGATGTTGACCGTATTAGTTAAGTTATGCTTCCACTTAGTCCGTATCGGGACTTCTTAGAAGCAATTTGAAAAAAATACTTAACTAACTAACTGCATTATGTCTTTTTTTTAAGGGGGGAAAATCAGCGAATGACTTCTCCCGCCTGGGTGAGGCGGGAGGGAGTGTCAGACTCTTACTGACTAAAAACCACCCCGTTCCTTCTCCTGCACGTCGAGCCGGAGCCCCGGTTACCCGTTAGGTTCTCCGCGACAACTGCATTATATCTACGAAGTGACGAACATCGAGTATTTAATGAGAGGTGGGAACTTGACCATGTTATGTGCAACAATAGTAATAAAATTCAGTGTATAATTTGTATGCAAGTTTTGTCGTACATACAACTGAATACAACTGAAAATATATTTCAGTCCCTCCACCTTTTGTAAAAAATTTAATTAGTCCGCGAATTTATATAGTTTGGACAGCCCTGCTCTAATTTACTAAACAGTACAAAAAGAAACACACGCAATAATAAAATTTGATATATTTATTTCAAAATTGAATTCACATTTATACAATCAACAACTTGGAATATTTATAAATAGGTTTTGTACTCAAAACAGGCACGGACACACTCTCTACAATATACATACAAGAATATACAACTATAGTATAATGCACTGGAAGGGCCTGTGACAACAGGATCTTTGGTAACTGAGACATTTCTATACAAACAGATAAAAACTACTACTAACCTTAATACTCACCTAATTCAAAATTTTTAGAGAGCGCTTGCATATATGTACAGTCGATCAAGTTATTAATATGCAAATAAGAAAATAAAGATTGCGTCTATAAGAAAGTATCATAAGATCATATATAACATCACGCCTTTTTTATAATAACTATCGTGAGACATACTAAATTAACTAAAATTGAGGGTTACTTACGTGAATATACTGAGAAAAGCTCGTACTAGTTATACCGTGCGCGGTCGCGGCGACGTCGCGCAGCTTACTCTTGACGACCGCGCACGCTGCTCATGAGGAAGAACCCCTCTGTGGTTCGAAACTAGTAGAGCTTTTCTCGGTATATTCTCGTGAGTAACCCGCGATTTTAGTTAATCAAGCCTTTTATCCCCGAAGGTGTAGGCAGAGGTACACATTACGGCACTTAATGTCACCCACTTTTCATCATTTATTTTAGAAGATGAGCCTATTGCCATTACTAGGCACAATTCCAAAGTCCGTCCTTTCCCGGTAGACTCACTTGCGATCACTTGGCCAACGAGACAGTGAGTAAGAAATTACTTGATCAATAGTTTCAAAAGGCTTCATTCAAAATCATATAATTGAGTACAATAACAATAGTTACTATTTGTGTACCGAATTAATCTTTATATTGTACGAAATAACTTGGCTGACTACATTATACTTTAGTTAGTTTACATTCCTTTTAGAAATATGTCAAATATTTCCCTTAAACTTAACGTTAACATCATGCGCACAGTTTATTATCTACTGCAATTTGATTAAAACTGAAATTGTTGTATCGTATTTATTTCAAACGGGAATAATATGTATATAGATACAATTTGGCATATTATAGTCGAGTTCATGAAAAATAAAGCAGTAATAAAGTCCTAAATATTAAACTTTTGTTAAGAGTAGAATTGCCCTTTAAGTTACTACAATATTATAAAACTTCGAGACAAACTCTTCAATTTGTTTTATTCATTTATCATATCATAATTGAATTTGGTATAGGTACAAGGCACATAACATTGGACACAGCCAAACTACTTTATCCACAAAATAATAACAATTTAAAAAACAATTCATAACAAATACAAAATAATATCTTGATAGTTACATCGTCTAGCGTCATAATCGTCGTACCTAGTTAGACTACGTGACTGTTTACAATCTTCCGTAATCTTTATGGCTACCAATAGCAGAATAAAAACATTCATCACATTTTACAAAAGGAAAGCAATGGAGGCTGCTGCATTTTTGCCCACCAGATGGCATTAGTGTGTTACTGTGTAACTCTCGTTCTTCATTCAATTGCGAATTAGTTAGTGTAACATCATTCGACATTCAAATTTATGTCTACAGTGATGATACTAAAAGTCTATTTATTAGATTAAGGCCATCTAGTGAGCAAAAACGGTAGCCCTAAATCCAGTTTACAAAATATTTGTTCGTTCGACATAGAATAAACCAAGTTATATGAATAACATCACGGATTCACGATTTTTTACCGCTAAAAGTTTTCGTAGCAAAAAAGGTAGGTACACTGATGGAAAATTATGCCTAAACGTAGACATCTGCCCATCCCTTCAAGAGATAAAAAGCATGATATTCGATAGATAAACAAAAAAAGATTATACATCTATTAATTAATTTCATCTATTACGTTTTTACAAATATGGCGGACAAGACCACGTGTAAAAGACAAGGATTATAAAGTAGTTCTACTAAGCTGTTTGCACACCCATCCATTTGTTGACCGCACACACATAAGGCGTGTAAATCACAAGCTATAAGTATACTGTTAGAATCCAAGTGGCGACAGGCACCTGGTGACTCACCATCATGGAAAATTGATCTATTTACTATAAGGCTGGGTATACAAATAAGTTGTTGTTCGTTCGCAAAAACTTAAGTTACTTTTCTGTGTTAGTGTGAATCGATACTTATTGTACATTTTTGTGGACAATATCTAGATGTTTTTTGCCTTATTTCATATACTTACATAGGCAAGGCACTTTCTAATATAATAGCTATTATTAAAGTCATTAATCGTGTATCTGAGCTGGGTTTTACCGTTTGTGAGTAGATAATTTCTTTCGGTTCTTTATAGATTAAAAATCATTTATAAAAACAACGTCTAGAGAAGAAAATCATACATCTGTTCAGAACATTTTTTTTACTACATAAATACGCATCGCAAATTGCATTATTGCGTTAATAACTTACAATTTTTTTTTTTATCACTATCAACAGCTAATGCATACCCAGCCTAACCGGCAGTACTACACGTTCCATTACTTAAACGGAACTACACTATCGCAGTACACGCGATACATTACCGCTTATGTATGAACTTCAGTGCTGTTGCCACTGTCATTGCCTTCAACGTACAGCTGGAAGCGAGTGTACCCCGACGGTTCCTTCAGACTCTTGTTGTGTATTATGTTCTTGGCCCACGCCCTACATCGGATCACGATGTTTGAATTATGTGCTGGAATCAAGAAAGGAGGTTATACTTCCATGTGTGGGTCTTGAAAAATGGCGTCTTAAACCATTTTAAATTTCAATTTCTCCTCTTACATAATTATTTTATTTTGGCTATAAGGTAACCCTTTTACGACGATTAATTGTCTTTAAGGTTATTTTCTTTTTCGATCACTTTGACTAGATTTTAGTGTTACATTGTTCTCGCACAATTCAAACAGCAAACTATGTAACTGGAGAATTGTATTGTGAACCTGATTGAAAAAGAGTAACCTATGGAGTCCTGCTCGTTCTTCTCCATAGGAATCTACAGTTTGGAATGAGCAAATAGCT